ATATTTAGAATCTAAAAAATACATAACATACCCAAACTAAATCAAATTAAGTCTATATTTTTCATATATATCTAAAATTTTATAAAATAACTTAAATTAAACTATTAATAATTAACGAAAATATTTTTAAACTCTAAATTTTACATTTTAAAACTTTATAATACTTTAAAATGTTACAAATAATAATAAATATTGTTAACAAAATATATTTCAACTAAATTATAAAATAGTATAGATATATAAAACGTAACACAAAAAAATAGTTTGGGATATACATGTTTATAAGTCGGGTACAAATCGGTTCTTATCTGGTCGGTTCTTTTCAGGTCCGGGTTTATTCGAATCGGTTCTTTTCGGGTCCAGATCTATTCGGGTAAAAGAAATTTAGATCCAATAGGTACTTGTAAATTTTCGGATCGGGTTCGGGTCGGGGTTCGGGTAGTTTTGGATCGGTTCCGGTTCGGATCTTCGGGTCCGAGTAAAATGCCCAGGCCTAATATGTATATCAATATAACATGAATATACCATTAACAGTTCTATAACATCAGTTTTATAACAAAATACCATTAACAGTTTTGTATTTTGTAATATCTTGGAGAGTCTCCAGGAAGGTGATAGTTTCCAATGATTGGAAGTAGGAGGAGATGGTGTCCTTGTTGCTTCTTCTTGCTTTTGAAGGCGGTGAAAAGAAAAAAAACCATGTGAGAAAGAGAAGTGATGGAAACCAAATCGTAGCCTTTTTTTTTTTACTAGAATATGTCTCAAGTTTTCTTGAATGGTGATCATGATGAAGGAAACTTGTACTTTTTATATATACAAATACACAGTTGTGACCTTGCTCTGCTTTCCGATCATCTTTTGGACTTACTTTCAGTTCTATAAAAGATCGCAGACAAGCCAGAAAGTAGTAACTTTAAACAGAACAAAGCAAGAAAGACCAGACCAAAGCTAAAAGTCCAAATCAGACCAAAAGTAGTAAACTGACTGCACGGAGATTATGGTAAACTGCGGTTGGTTTCTTTCATCAGTAAATGACTTAAACTGATGATAACGAGACTAAAAAAGATACGCAGAGACAATAAAAGGATGAAGTTGAAAAACGTTTGAGAAGTGGTAAGGTGGCTTCGGTTGACCAAGGTGATTCTAGAGAGAAATTGAAGTGAGAGAGAAGGGGAGAAAGTGATTTTATTCAAAATCATGGTGTTGACACACAAGTATCTTAGTTGTCGAAACAACTTCATGCACAAGAACCTATCACAAATGGCAGAGTAGGTTTTGTGCAAAAGCATGGAGTTGACACACAAGTATCTTAGTTGTCAAAACAACTTCATGCACAAGAACGCATCACCAATTGCTGAGTAGGTTTTGTTCACATTACAAACGGCACACACAAATATCCTAGTTGCCAAAACACCTTCATGCACAAAAACACATCACCAAATGGCAGAGTAGGTTTCATTAAAAATCATGGTGTTGAGTCACAAATATCTTAGTTGTCAAAACAGATCCATGCACAAGAAGTGAAGAACGCATACCAATTGCTGAGTAGGGTCCCCTAGATGAATTAGCACCCTAATCAAAGCTTAGGATATTAAATGTCACTCTCTTCAATGATATTCTTTCATTAGTTGTATTGTATATTATAACTTCAATCCCATTAATGCAGAACGATTTTTGACACTCAAAATCAGGCAAAATCATTTTCCATAGCCTTCATAAAACTTTTTTTTTTGGTAAAAATAATTAAATAAGCACACATCAATAGCCTTCATAAATCTATACGAAGATCTTCCAAAGTTATATATTTACCACCGTTTTGAATTATAAAACTCATACATTAAAATAGATGTTTTTAAAAATAACCGAAATTCATGAAAATGTTATTATATAAAGCTTGGTTCTTCAAAGTTACTAATTAACATGATCGCAACATGTGACAATAAAAATAGTGAGAATGTGATATGTGTCAAAACATTTATCATAAATATAAAAATTAATCAATAAAAAATATTTGAAAGTATTTGTTTCTTTTTTTTAAAATCCTAAATAAAAGATAATTGTAAATATCAAGTAATTTTTTCTTTCGTTTAAATCTCAAATTCAACATTTTAATTCCTACACAAAGAGAATTATAAAATAAAATAGTAGTTTTCAAAAAAATATATAAAGCGAAAACAAGTTATAAATTTTACAAATACTTATAAACAATCTTATTATATAAAACTTGGTTTTTCAAAGTTACTAATTAACACGATCGCGACACATGTCAATTATATATCTAAGATTGTGATATGTGTTAATACTAATTTTCTTTTTGTAAAATCATCTTATTATATAAAGTTTGGTTCTTCAAAATTACTAATTAACACGATTACGACATGTGTCAATAAAAAAACTAAGATTGTGACATGTGTCAAAAAATATAATACAAATCTTTTTTGTTTAGGATTTTGAAAAGAAAAATTACTACTACACAATTTTTTTACAGTTATATTTTGTTTAGGATTTAAAATAAATTATTAGCAGATAATTATTTCAGTAAATATTAAATTATGTTTTAAATTTCAATTTTTACAATTCATTTTATTACGAAAAAAATTCTTATGGGTTTTTAATGATTTTAGAAAAAGTAAAATCACTATTACACAATCTTTTACAGTTATATTATCATTATGATTTTTTAAAATAATTGGCAAATAACTATTTCAGTAAATATTAAATAATTTTTTGAAATTGGAAGTTTTACACTTCATTTTTAATATCACTACATATTTTAAACTTTTTTTTTAGTTAAACTGGCTTTAGTATTATGTTTATCATAAAATTTTTTAAAATAAAAACTATTAGTAACTTTAGACAAAAGCGAATAATAGAATCCCACAACTATATTTCAGTAAATATTAATATTTTTTAAAAAATTAGAATTTTTACCTTTTTTCCTAACCAATTTGTTTAGTCCTAAACCAAAGATAATTGTTAAAGCTTATATGGTAGTAGATTTTCTTTTTAATAATTTATACAATTAACATAGAAAAAAAAAAGTAAAAGTATTAGTAATACCAAGAAACGAATTTTGAAAATAAAAAATTCTTAAAATCATTAAAATTACTTGGAAATAACTGTTTGTTAGTATAATTATTATTTTTAATTCCTAGACAAAAGGGAATTATAAAAAATAATATAGTATTAATTTTTTATTTACTAAAATCATTATTAGAATTTTTAAAAGAATATTTGATAATAGTTTTTTAAAGAGATTTGTATCATATTTCTAAGTCCTATCCAAAAGATAATTTAAAACTATTATTTGACTATATGTTTTAAAATAGAATTTAGTGATGAACATGAATAAAAATATTTAATTAAAAACTAACTTTAAAAATAGTAGTTATGAGAGACAGAGAGAGAGAGTAATTTTAAAACAGATTTAAATATTAACTAAAAATAATTATTTGATAGTAATTTAATTTACCTTAAATTCTTAACATAAGATAATTGAAAGAATTATATGATATGAATTTTCCATTTCCAAAATCCTAAACAAAAAAATGCAAAATTGTATTTGATGTATTTTTTTCTTTTTCAAATTTAAGTAGTAGAGATTTTAAATTTTTTTTTCTTTTCCTTAGATCATAAAATAAAAATATACAAACCTATATATGAGTATTTTTTAAAGAATTGGATAACGAAAATGATACGAAAACTATTTAATTAACAAAAATAAAAAATAGGATGCTGGTTAAGATTGTTTTTATATATGTTTGGCCATACGAAAATCAAACACATGTTTGATATATATTTTCATGTTTGGTCATAAAAGATAGATGTTGTTATTATCATCATAAGTGGTATTTATATGTGTTTAATCAAAAACAAATCAATCTCCAACCTCATCTTAATACATTTTTTTTGTTTTTACTATGTAGTGTTTTTAATTAATTTTTATTTATATTGCTATTATGGAAATATCATTAAAAATAATAAATTAAGAAAATTATTTAACATTGAGTAATTTTATATAACGTTTTATTTTAAATTAGAATTTATGTGGAAAATGAATTCTTAATTATAAAATAAAATCACACAACATATGCTTAATGATCCTAAAACTATAATAACATAATCTTTTATTTTTAAGTTTTTTATAAAATTAAAATCTCAAATAAAACCCGTGCAATGCACGGATCCATATCTAGTGTTAAGTAAAACTTGGATAAGAAAGTTCTTTTACAAACAAAAAAAACTTGGATAAAAAATTTAACATGATATATATCTAAATACTAACTAAATAGCGCTGACCAAATAAATTTGGACTCACCAAATTTATATTTTCTGGACTAAACTGAATGTTGTAGATTATTTTTTTTTGTAACAGAAAGAATAACTGTTTTTAATTAACATTAATCGTTTTGGACTCATGAAGGAGTTTAGACTCTTATGCCATGAGTTAAATTTCTACTAAAAACCGAATGATGTGTCCTTGTAGATAAGACTTTGCTTGGTCCAAAATTAGCTTGGTGGGGTGCCTCCTTCAGCTCATTCTTGGACTAGTCGGTCTTGTCAGTGATTTTGGATGGTTGTCAGTTGTGACGTCGATGATTGTCTAGTCTCGGTCCCTCTAATCTGGTGCCCGGGCCTGATCACAGTGATCACAGAGAGAGAGAGGCCCGGTTGAGAGAGTGCAATAATGGGAGAGAGAGAAAGAGTATACAGCATTCCAATTAAAAATCCAGATATTAAAAGCAAAAAAACCATTGGTAGTAGTCTACAGCATCCAAAAGTAAAAATCCAGATATTTTAAAGCATAAAAATTTGGTAGTAGTTTACAATCAACTTTAACAAAATGATTGACAATATTATAGAGAAAGTGTTGTATACAGTCATACCATATATATAGGATTACGTGGATTAATTAGGTTCAGTGTACTGAGTGGAATCAAGAAAAACGTGTTTAAGCTTTCAAACATTTGTTTTGGCAACGAATTAGTTTGATATTATTTAAACAATTACTAGTAAGGGAAAAGTTTGGACATGAAGATGACAAGTAATAGAACATTTTTTGTCTCTACATCGTTTTTCAGTTTCCTTGTTGGAATATTAAGACGAGATACAAGGGGTCACAAGATGCTGTTTTGTGTACAATCGATGCAACATTTTATTGTAATCTCATTAAGACTTAAGTTTAAAGTGATCAGTGATTTAAATACTTGACCGGAACAAGTACAAGTTCATTTTTCTTGCTCACATTAAGTCCAGGAGACTCTTCCATGTCGATATCTTCAACCTCCATGCCTTCTGGTAATTTCCAGTCAAAATGAAACAACATATTAGCAAGACCAAACTCCACCATTGATGTCCCCATGTAAATTGCAGGACATAGTCTCCTGCCAGCACCAAATGGCAACAACTCAAAACATTGTCCTTTTGGGTCAATATTATTATCAATAAACCTTTCAGGGAGAAACATCTCTGGATCTTTCCAGGTATCAGGGTCACGTCCTATAGCCCAAACATTCACATAAAGCCGTGTCTTGGGTTGAATCTTGTAGCCATTGATCTCAAATTCAGACATTACTTCCCTTGGAACTATAAGTGGTGCTGGAGGGTGTAGCCTCCATGTTTCTTTCACTACCATTTTTAGGTAATGGAGTTGCTCTATGTCATCCAAGGTGATCATTGACTTTTTCCCAACTTGATTTCTGATTTCAGATTGTACTTTCTTCATCGCTCGAGGGTGTCTCATAAGTTCTGTCATTGCCCATGTCATTGTTATTGCAGAAGTGCCAATGCCCCCAATAAGAACATTCTGTCATAAGGCCACAAAGATAAAATGTTATAATCTTCAGATAAAATATCTTTAAGGGTTTCAAATATTTATATCTATTAGTTACCATTAAGATTCCTTTGACATGGTTTCTTGTGAGCTTGCCATATCCAAGAACAGATTCTTCTTTTTGAAACCTCAAAAGCAGATCCACAAAATCTTCACTACCTCTCTCTTTCTCCTCTCTATGTAGGTCAAACATTTGCTCATAGAAAGCATCAAGATCTCTCACGCTCCTCTCTCTCCGCCCTTGTAACCCCGTGAGCCGGTCGACGATCCAGCCGCCGTTTGGGAAAAAATCAGAGGCAGAGAAGCTCCCAAGAAACAAGAACGCCTCGTTGATGAACTTGTCGAATCTATCGCTGTTGAGGACAGTTCCATGGAAACTCACACCAAATGCTACCTTGCATATCACGCTAACAGTTAAAGAGAGAAACTTCTCGCTCAAGTTAACTGGTGTTTTCTCTTGAGCTGATTTGGCGACTATGTCTATCAGCTTCTTGACTTCCTCGTCCCTGATGGGTTGCATCGTGTGAACTCGTTTAGGACTAAAGAGCTCTTGCACACACAGTTTCTTGACTTCTTTCCAGTAATCATCATAGGGAGCAAAAGCAATGTCCAGATAATTGTAAGACAGCTCTCTTGGCCCTGAGAAATAAATAATGTAAATAAAGAGAAAAGTTATAGTATGTGTTGAGTGAGAGTTACAGTACCTACTAAGCTTGGACGGCTACAACAATGAAGGTCATGGATTTTGAGAGCTTGTTTAGCTGTTTCAGAGGAAGAGACTACAACCGTTGGGACTCTTCCAAGCTTCAAGAACATCACAGGGCCATACTCTTTGGAGAGTCGCCATAGGGATTGATGCGGTAACTCTCCGAGCTGGTGTAAGTTTCCGATGATCGGAAAACCAGGAGGAGAAGGTGGTCTTCGTTGCTGCTTCTTGCGTTTGTAGACGGCGAGAAGAAGACTAGTGACGAAGAGAAGTGATAGAAACCAAATAGTAGCCATTTAGTTTTCCTAGTAATGATGATGATAGTGATGAAGGAAGCTTAAGATTTAATATATACCCGCATTTGTGATCTTTATTCTGCTTTTACTTTTTTAAAGTTAGAAATTAATAATTAATATATTTCAAATTTATAAATAATAAAATATAATAAATAATATTTTAGAACAAAAATTTTCCTTTTAAAATGTTTTGGTATTATTTAATCGAATTACTTATAAAACACATGGACACTCTTATAAAATACATAATATCAAAATACAATGAAAATACCAAATAGTTTATAAAAATCCACATGAAATATAATCAATATGTAAAATCATTAACCAAACAAAAATTTAAATAAATTATAAATCTAAAAATATATTTAAATTATTAATCCTAACTTTATAAATTAAATATAATAGCTGTAATATTATTAATTTTGTAATAAATTACTATACACAAAAGAGTCATGAAAAGTAGTCAAGAAGCCTTCTAATTGCAAACCTTCATTAGTATTACTATTGGTACTAGATTTTGATCCGCGCTTGAGAAGCGCGGATTTTGTTTCGGTTGTAACAAAATATATCAAATGATTTGATTTCTATTATATGATAGTTTTATATGTGAAATTTGATGTATATTTAACCTTTTAGTAGGGTATTTTCATTGAGTTTTGCATAACTGGGTCAATTTTTGGTTGAACCGAGAATCATAAAATTAAGTGTTGTGAGAGTATAAAGAATTAAAATACATAGTAAATTGAAACCAAAATTGGATGGGTCCATGACCCATAGTAAATTTTAAAAATCAATACTATTGAAAAAAAAAAAAAAAAAATTGCTGGTTGGTGAGTACCCGCGATTCAAAATCCACCAAACCGCACCCGCCCTGCATAAAATACTCATAACCCGCACCAGCCAATCAATTTTTTCAAATTGTTCAACCCGCACCCGTCTGCAGGGGATTAAACGGGGTGGGACCCGCGGGTGATGACTCAGATTCTCAGCCCTACTTACATCATAAGCATTGATTTGGACTTCACCTATAACCAAAAATAAATCATAAGCATTTGGGTAATTTCTTCTGACATAAAACAGAAAAATGAAGGAATGATCAAAACATTGAGTTAGTAGAAACATATTTTCAACTATATAAACAATGGTCATTTAGTACAAAATCGAAACATAAGTTTTTATTTTCAAGGAATGCCTATATATTGCTCAATCTTAGCAAACCGTAGAAGACATATCACCATGCCTTCTATTTCTTGGCTGGTTGTATGAAGATTCTCAGCAAATTTACCCCAAAGACAGCAAACTTATCTCTGACCACTAATAGAATTGCATATCAAGTTATAAATCAATATGTTTATAGGCTTATCTTTTATATTAAATATATAAAACTTACGAAATGTCCACGAACTCCAACACGAATATGTTTTGCCAATTCAGGAATGTATGTCTCACGAGGCATGGATCTTAGTTCCCTATATAAACAAAAAATAACATTATCATTTTCAGTTAAACTTTTACGAAATGAAGATATCTAAATCATAAATCTATATAAAACCATAAACTTACATTTGCTTCACAAATGATTAGTTCCATGGTCTCCCTTATGTATTTTATGAAATGTCTCCATGTATGAAGGATTTTGACTTGGATGCAACATGCAGTCTTCTCGGTTTAATATCGCTCAAGAAAGACAACTGCAAATTATTCGTCATTTTTGTTTTAGGTTTTTCAAGGAATGATGAATATAGTGGTTAAGAGAGGCTATATTTATAATATGTAGGGACGATATACATTTAAGTTACGCAAATGTAGGGCAGAATATTTAGACGATTTTAAAAAATATTTCTTTCGAAGAATAAGGAATATTTCTTGAAGATATTTTGAATTAGATAGGAAGTTTAAATTTCAATAGTTAATGGTAATCCAACTACGGTAAGTTACCAAAATTTATGGAATCCAACCAAACAATAACTAACCACGATATTGATTGTGGTTAATCTATAAATTTGTAGATGAAACAATTTATTTATTTGAGTAGGAATATAATTATAGAAAATAGTTTTTGTAATATTTTCTTAACAAAACGTATCTCGTCCTTTAAATGTCACGAATGATAATATATCGACATATGAAGAAAATTTAATACGAAAATATTTGAAATTGTCTTGCATATAACAAATTTAGTTATTATTCAATAAGAATCTTAATATATTATTTAAATATTTTCAAAATCAGATATCAAAGATATTACTTAGATCTTTTCTAATATTGCATTTTGACAATATCTTTTAATATATTTTTCTGTAAAATATAAATATTTATTTTTTAATATTTATTTTAAATAATAAAATGTAATTACTTTTAAATATTATTACAATTAATTTTAATTCATTTGAATTTATTAAATAAGAAATACCAATACTATAATATTTATAAATACATTATTCATATTCTTAATTAAATTACTACAATAAATAATATATATATATATATATATATAACTTAATTAAAATTATTTTATAAACTATAAACTAAAAGAATTACATATTCATGACAACATATATTCATAGAGTTTACAACATACTTCAATTTATTAATGCAAAATATTAAAATATATATTAAAAGAATAAAAAATTATATTTAATATAATATCTAAATTATTATATTAAAATATAATTAATATATTTTTATTTGATAAAAAATATTAAATTTTGTTGATTTTATTATACAGTATATTGAATTATATATTATGATTTACAATTATAATTTATTACAATTTATTTTATAAATATGTAAACATTTATAAGTATGAGAGCAGCTGAACACCATATAATTAATTTATATTATAATAAATATTTATGTAGTCAATTTATAGATTGAAATTGTGTAATATAAGGTTTATAAGACAATATAAATGTATGAAATATAATATGGAATATGATTAGAGTAATTAAAGGGAAGAGAGGGAATAAATTGGGTATATTTAATATGTGATATGATTAGTAACAATTGATATATATATATATATATATAAATATAAGACCAAAAAATAAATTATCAAAATTCCATTAATGAGATTGTTGACAACTTCCATCAGTCGATTTTTTAACGGTGTCTTTACTTTTAATAGTATAGATATGTTTAGTGGTTTACCAAATATGAACCCAAATATACGATGCCGACGATGGAGAAAAAAACAATTTGATGAGCACACGACAAGGCCATAAAAAACATGAATCACGTGCAACAAACTGACAAAAACAGCTGAGCTAAACTTACCTTTTCATAGTAGTATTTAGTCGATTGGCTTATATTTCTTTTTTCTTAACATCAAACTTCATATTCATCAAGATTTGGGTACAAGTGATTGAAATTTGAAGTCACTTCTAAGGATCTAACGGTACTTAATCAAATTTCTCTTGTACTTTTGACCCCAAAGAGAAGTAGAATACCCCACAAATCGAATACAATCGTCTCATTCAAACCGTTCATTAGACCTCATGATACAAAACGGTTACTAACCTAATGAGTAGGATCAGGTCAAAAATCCTAGCGCAAAAGAGAAAAAGAGAGATTTTTTTTTAATAATTTTAAGCAGATGGTTGGAAACTTTCTAAAGTTTGGACATCGGCTTATTTAGTTTGTTTTGGTTCTTTTTTCATTGATTTATTTTATTTCTAGTCATTTAGTTTGTTTAATTGTCTGTTTATTTAAATTTAACCAAGTTTTTGATTGTTATTTTATATGTTTTTTTAGTGGATTTGGAAAGATAAATCTTCGGTTCAGTTGAACCATTTGAAAAAGATAAATAACAGATCTATTGTGAATTGTGGCGATTGGTCTTACCGACTTCAATCTTTGAGAGTTCTTCATTTAATGGTGATAAAATTTTTACTGTAAACTATGGTTACTACGGAAGGTATCATAAAATTTTATGAAACGATAATTTCGTTGATTCTGTGATTATCTGTAGAGCAATATAAAGAGTTGTCTTCTCTCGGTGATTCTTACAAAAGTAATAAAAAAAGGATGACAATCGTTCTCAACTCAGCTTAAAACTTAATGTTTTTGGATTATTACTAAAATTATCTCTCTTGAGATTCAATTATTCTAAAAGCAAACATGGAGTTTTTATATGAAACTCTTTAATATCCATATGAATATATATATATATATATATATATATATATATATATATATATGTTAATTTACTTTGGATCCCTATTGTTATATCATTTTCTATATTTGTTTTGTTAGTTCTCTTTGTTTAGAATTCTTTCTTTACAAGACTTAATAATACAGTCCAGCATTAAAAAAAAAACTTAATGAGCTAAATAGTTTGGAATTAGTTGATTGGCTTAAGTACAGGTAAAAATAAATAGTTTGGAATTAGGAAGATAGTTCAAAACTTCTTTTTTTTTTAATAAAAATGCAACAACTAAATTTTAGTGGTGGAGACATATTGTGTGAGAGAAGGCACGGTCCCCAATGCCCTTTCAAACTTCCATGTAACGGTTTTATGTATACACCTCCCACTAGCCTACCTCCCACCCCATAAAATCGTTTTCAACATGTGCCTTTAAATTTTATTAACCTTTTAAAATAATATTTTTACTTAATTTAATATCTTAACTAATTTTTAATACACTAATTTTTTAAAGCTTGGATCATTTTAATATTGTAATTGCATTTATTTAAACAAAATTTATTAATAAATTTCAAATAAATGTTTAAAAAAATCTTAAAATTTCAGAAAATATTAATAATTCTTCTTTATTATTGACTAATTTTATTTGAATTTTAAAGAATAAGCATAGGAAAATTTTGGATAATCTTTAAATTTAGTATCAATTTAGTTTGTATTTTGATATTCAACAAGTTAAATTTTTCATTCAAATTAAGTTTTCTACACTTTGAAATTTTAACCACAATTTAGTTATCTCTATTCCTAAAATTAATTTTCCTTAAAAATAAATATTATTCGTCTTTGTTAATTTATTAATATTTAAATTAAAATAAGCATAATTTA